CAGACAATCGGATGACAATTAATTAAATCGATTGGCTGAAGTGTGTTGTGCTCGACTGGCGGAACAGCATTGCTGCTGTTCGGTCAAGACCGCAGCAGCACCCTCATCCTCACCACCACCACCACCAACATCAGCATCAGCAGAACCACCACCAGCACTACCACCAGCACCATCACCCTCATCAGCAGCATCAGCAGTATCGTTGACTGTGTGAGCAGCCAGCTAATCTTGTTTGGTCGGTGGCTATTCAAATCAAAGCGAATTACATCTAATGGAGATAAATGCAGCTCAATGCTCGATGGCTTAAATGGCAGCAGCGGCGGCTTCAGCCGGCACTGGGCGGCAGCCTGCAGTGCGATAAAAGTGGAATTAATTCAGCCAATGGAGCAAATTTAATTTTAAAACTACACTATACCATAGCCATTGCCAATATAGTCGTGCACCAGCCGGGGATTACTTTCAGGAGGGGAACAAAGGAGGGAAGAGACGCAATGGTGATGGGGTGACATCAAACTTTGGGCGCCGCTGGTGGCCAGAGATTGAGATAGACAATGTGAAAGGGAAGGACAGAAAGACACTAGGACTGTCACTAGGAAAGAAAAGTACAACTGGCGATGATCGCCTATTGATTAAGCAATTAGGCTCATTTCTGCAGCGGCTGCAGATAGAAGTGTGCCGTAGATGGGTGTGCATTCGACTGCCACTACCACCACAGCTGGTGGACAAATTACTGCCATTAGGCCAAAGGGACCGGTTGAAACGCAGACACACTGACTTTGAATGGTCACATTTGGGAAAGAAAAAGTTGGAGATAAAGTAAAGCAGGAAAGCTCACTTGCTACATACTGAAAACCTCAGTTGTTGATAGCAGTAAAGGTGTACAGTGTAACGGGGCATCTAAGCTGAAGCTCAGCTGTCGTTGAACCAAAAAGTGGCCTGTGGCCAGCAGTTACTCGTCTACATGAAGTATTATAAATGTAAGAAATAATCACTTACCTAATAAGGCCACACTTAATATGAGCGTTAGTAATCGTAGGAGCATTATTAATTGATTCGCTGCAGATTCGATTTCGATCGAGCCTGGTGAGCTTGAACGAGAGAGAAAGAGAGAAGTAGGACAAGAAGAAGACGAAGAAGAAGAAGAGGAAAAAGGAAAAGAGGATGAAGCAAAAAGTGAGACTAAATGAGCGCACTCGGCTGAGGATGTCTAGCTACTACTGCTTGTGGTGGAGGCTGTGGAGAAGGATTAGATGAACGATTGATTTTGATCGGAGCAAACTAATGAGCAAATAGCAATGACGGTGCAGTTCGCTTCGGTGGCGATGCTGGCAAGGAAGAAGAGGCATTTGCCAGAAGGGAAACGAGGGAGAAATAGAGTAAAAGCAGAAAACAGGTGAGGCAGACGACCGCAGCATTAGCGCGAACTCCACACAATGGACTTGAATGAGCTTGTCCAGAAGAAGCTTGCTCTGGTGCTTGCCTGCCTGTTTGCCACCACTATATAAACAATTATAAATTGTTCAATAAAATCGATCCAATTGCCGTGGTGTGGTGGCAGTGTGACCAACAGACAGCTCGGCAACGTTCATCGTCCTGCTTCGGGATTAATTATTGCCGTTGTTTCAGGGGTGCAGCTTCGGTGCACCCGTTTGATGGCGGCGCTCTTCAGCAGCTGCCGTTTTGCTCAAGTTTTAGCAAAGTTTTTGGCGTTGATGAGGCAAATAAATGATAGATTCCATCATTAGTGTGTATTCTGCTGACGGTGATGGTGGTGATGCGGTTGTGCGGAAGCAAACTTGCAGACTTGTCACTTGCCACTTGCCGACTAAAGCCAATTTAGTGGGGCAGACAATCGATAGACAAACGCAGAGACGGCAGAGTGGGTCATTCCACTCTGAAGATGGCTCACTGAAAAAAGCCGGCAAGTTGGTGAAATGGTGGAAATGAGATGGGAAGATGAAACGGAGATGAGAAGTGGAAAGGAAGAAGAAGGTACACAAGAGAACACACGTAAACATAAACAGACACAAACAAGCACACACGCACAGGACACTTCACTGGTGAGTGGAAAGACAGGTTCTTTTCGAGGTGACAGACAGACCGGAGACAGGTAGAAGACAGGGCAATCAGCATGTGACACAGGACAGCAAACAGTGACCAGAGAGGATGGTGGTGACTTTCAGTCGGCGGTGACGACGACGTCGAGGTGCATGGTACGGCATGGCTGCAGGCAGTGGAGGCTGAAGTGGCCCTGAAGGCCTTCACAACGAGGAACTACATAGCCGCCAGCAACTACATAGACGGCGACGACGACAACAACAAACACAAACACAACAACAGCAGCCCCAGCCAACTCCCACCGTCGATTACATCTTCAGCGTGGCCCTTGTCCTCTGCTCTTGTCGCTTCCTCTTCCAGCGACACTCCTTCTTCTGGTCCCCTCTTTTCTTCTCGGCCCGACAGCAGACAGAGCAACAGAGCCACTGAGCGGTACTGTGCTGATCACATGGTGTGGAGAGGCCTGAGGGAGTGAGGGGGCAAACGGTGTGTTGGCTGGCGGTGGTGGTAGCAGTGGCCGCCGTAGCGGGACTCTCTCAAAATTGGCGCCACAAAATGGAGCGAAGGGAAAGTGAGAGAAGGAATGCGCCCGACGCGAGCCTTTGCTTCGACCGACCGTCTCGCTAGCACTGAGGCGAATGTGTTGAATTGAGGCCCAATTTATGCGTGTTGATGTATCCACCACTGGATTCTCTCGACATCCATTCGCCTGCTGCTGCTGCAACACTTGCCGTTCTCTCTTTCTCTGTCTTTCGCCTGTCCGTTATCGTCTATCTGCCTTCCCTTTCTAGCAGCACACACTATTCTACACTGCATTCGAATTTTTATTCTTCACTTGGCTCGTTTACATTTCCCAGTGCAGTGTTCGGTTGTCGCTGTTCTATCGCCATCGAATTAAAGCGAAGCCCTACACACACACACAGTCGACAGAAGTCGCCCGAAGTGAGTGAAAGAGAGAATTCAATGTACAGCAGAATGAGAAAGAGAAAGAGAGACACTGTGGGGTGGCAGTTATTTCGATAAGAGTCGAGAATGCAGCAGAAGTAGAAGCAGCCAGCAGAATCAGCGGCAGCAGGCGCCTAGCAAAGTGCAGTGAGGACCAGACAGAGAAGGCAGGATCGACTTGGATAGATGCGGCAGCAATGTACTCTATAGCATCAGCAGCAGCAGCAGCCACAGTCGAATAATGCACAATAATAACAGACTGCTGCAGCTGAAAAATAACATATATTTCGCCTGACAGAACAGCAGAAGCAAAAGCAGAAGCTGATGCGTCGGCGGCGGCGGCTGCTGCAGAAGATTCTGCAGTGAAGAGAGCGAGAACCCTCGTTGCCTCTATCGATCGCTGACCTCGCTTGGGCTCCCGGAATTTTCAAAGTCTCACTCTCTTCCTCCAGTGCACTGGGTGCCGTCGTCAATTGGGACCAGTGAAGGAACGCAAGACTACTACACTGTGGCATCAGCAGTGCCAAATAACAGTAGAGAATAACACAGCAGCGGCAACGAAGAAGGAGAAGAAGCGATCCACTCGGCAACAGCAATGAGACATCTCAATCTGCTCCATTGGCTCTGCCCAGGCGACGGCTGCTGCTGCTGCAAGAGTGAGAGAGAAAGAGAGGTTCCTCTCGTGGTGGCGTCGGCGATGGCAGTGCTTCCTTGTTGTCGTAGTGGGCACATTCTCTGCCATCACCACCACCACCACCAGTGGCGCCCGTCTTGCAGGCGCTGAAAGTGACTTGCTCTCTTACTGGTCACTTGACGACTGCTCTGCTTCCCTGAGTTGGCGGACGGACAGTGTTCCCTCGTAAGACAAAGCCCCATTTGGCTCCGTCATTTGCATCTCAATTGCTTCTCTTTCTCTCTTCACTTCACTTCTCATCTCATCTAGGGCCTCCAATCGTGATTGCCCAAACTGGTCACTCAGTGAGAGAGAGAACGGAAGCAGGCAGGCAGTGTAAATCCAATCTAGACAGAGTAGCCAGAGTGCTGCTGCCAGTGCACTTCACTTAGATGACCACACTTGACGCCTGTGCTATCAATCAATTTGGCACACTCTTTTGGTGGCGGTTGCAAATCAGAGAGGATGAGGAGAGGAAGAGAGGGAGAGAGCCACTACTACTTATAACTGTCCCCAATCTCCACTTTTTCGACCAATTTTTGAAGGACAAAAAGCATTCTACTTTCCCAAATGAGCTGACGCCGAGCCCAAAGTACTTTTCGGCCTTCCTAGAAGTGGCAATCTCAGAGTGCAGTGAGCACCTGAGTGAATGTGAGTGAGTGCGTGAAGATATGGCTGGTCCCCCCCCCCCCCCCCCCNCGGTCGGTGCTGTACCTTCCAACGAACCACCGTCCGCAGGGGCAGCAGCCAATGACAGAAGCTCTGACGCGCAGGACGGTGCTCTTCCTCCGTTCAAACTGACAGTTGACAGTGAGTGGCACGCAGTGCCAGTGCCCCGCACGCAGCCAGTCATCGGCCGCCGCTGTACTACTGCTCAGCAGCGCGCGACTGTGGTGCCCCTTCAAATGCAGGGGGATAAAGAGCGCGCGCGCTGAGTTTGAGATTGTCCGTTGAGTAACGTGCGCTGCGCTGCGCTGCCATCGTCTGTTGAGTTGAACTGTCGTCAGTGGAGCAGTAGCGCAGTAGCGGCAGCAGCAGCAGCGGCGGCAGAAGTGCGAAGAAAAGGCTAGGTCTCTCACGCCGGTTGCTCTACCTCGCCAGTGTGCTTCAGCGTCTCCTCGGGCTCCCAACGCCAGCCTTCATAGCCACTCACCCACTCACTCAGTCTCTGCTCTGGCTGGTCTTCATCACTTCCTCCAGTAGCAACAGTTTAGTCTTCTCCTTGATCTCATCTCCCCATCTTCCTTCCTTCTTTCCTCCTCCATTACCTCCACTTTTTATTTCGCTTTGTACAGCACACCTATCACCGTACCATCCTCTGACCATGGCCTCCGAAGTTTCTCGAGCTTTTGGCACAAAGATCAACCCGAATGAGCGGAGAGCTTTTGCGCCGTTGAACGTGCAGAACCAGAACTTGAAGCCAAACAACAGGCTTGCCGAGAACAACAACAACAAACCGCAGCTGCAAAGCCAGAACGCGGGACCAGTCCCTGGTTTTATCTCAGGCCAGGAAAATCAGTTTGCTGCTTACGGCAGTGATGCCTTCAGCAAAAAGAGCGCCTCGACTTTTCAGATTTTCCGAGACGAGGGCATCAGTTCACAGGAACGGAGCTTCTCAATCAAACTAGAAGATGAGGAGAGAAAGCTCGATGTCAACATGCAAGCCGTGGAGAAGGAGCTAAGCGGAATTGTTATTGAGAAAAGTGCTAGCTCTGAGATATTTGACTCGGAGAACAAGGAGAACATCTCGACTACGAGCCAAGTCGATGATTCTATGGACGTGGAGGAATCGGCGAAGGAGAACTCTGCCTTTGAAGATGACTCTGTGCTTGACCATTCCGAGATCAGCTACGCTCAGCAGTACACCGAGTACGAGCGCTTTGCTGACTACGCCGACAGTATTTTGCCGTACATGCTCTCCAAGGAGCGCAAGCACATGGCCGATCCTTTCTACATGAATGGTCAGCTGAACATCAACGCCAAGATGCGATGCATTCTTGTCGATTGGCTTGTCGATGTCGCCGACGAGTACAACATCAAGGACGAGACGCTCTTCCTCACTGTCAACTACATTGATAGGTAAGACTAATCAGTGTCATTGTCCCTTCTTGCAATACTAATTCCTGTTCATCTTTTTCTTCAGATTCCTCTCAAAAGTTTCCATTAGCCGTCAGGAGTTTCAGCTTCTGGGTACTGCGGCGCTGTTTATTGCCACCAAGTACGAGGAGATTTATCCTCCTGAAATTAGCGAATTCGTGTACATTACCGACGACTCGTTTAACAAGCTGCAAATTCTGCAAATGGAAAAAGTCATTCTCAGAGTGAGTTCTGGCTCTTAATTTTCTATTTGTTTCACTGTTACTAATGCTTCTTTACAAACTTTGCAGACTCTCGAATTTGACGTCTCAACGCCTACTCCAAACTACTTTCTCGAAAAATTTAGCTGCGACCTTGAACTTGACAAAGAAGTTTTTTGCTTTGCAAAAGTAAGAATTGCAAACCTTTTTTCTAGAAGCTAATTAATCTAAACAAATCTTGTCTTTCCGCAGTACTTGTGTTTCTTGACTATGCTTGAATGCACCCCTTTTTTGAAATACTTCCCTAGTGAGATTGCCTTGTGCTCAATTGTGCAGGCGGCCAACTTTCTTGGCGTCCAGCTCAATGAGCAGTTCCTCAACAAGACCTTGGACTACGAGCGAAGCCTCGACAAGAAGGGCAATGTCGTCCAGCTGGTGAATGACCGCAAAGAGCTGCTTGACGAGCTCAACAAACTGCAAGCGTCTGCTGTTGAACACCAGCAACAGGCAATTCAACGTAAATTCTCTACCTCCAAATACTACAAAGTAGCCAAATTTATCAACTCCAACTAGCTTCTTCTACCAATTCCTTTTTATCCATTTCTTACAAACTCTTTGTTGTCTTTTACTTTCGCTTCCTTGTATCCACGCGCAATTTTGATTTCTACCCCTTCCTTTCTCCTTCTGTCCTTTTTTATGCCTCATTTACATATACTCATTTGATTTTAACAATCATCATCATTGTAATAATATTAAGGGCTGATTATTTTTCATTGTATTTATATTACCATTTTAAAATTAAAATCAATTTAGCAAATAGGCATTTTTGAACACTTAATCTCGTCTCTTGTGGTGCTTGTGTTTGTGCTTTTTGCTGCTACTGCTGCTCTTGTGCTTCTTTCGGTCTCTTCTCTCCGCGTCTGAATCGTCCGAGTCGTCAGATTCTCTCCGATGACTTCGTTTCTTTTCCTTTTTCCTCTTCTTTTCTTTTGATGATGATGATGATGCTGATGAGGAGTGCCGGTGTTGAGATGATTCCGATTTGATTTCAGAGCGAGTCTTGTCCTCCAGTGAGACCGCCTTTGGAGCGCAGCCTTCATTGTACAGCTGCTTCATTTCAGGCGTAATGTCATCAAACTCCTTTGGCACCTTGTACTGCTCCACATGGTCAACCCTGATGACTCGATTGAGCAGCTTAANAGCCTTTGGAGCGCAGCCTTCATTGTACAGCTGCTTCATTTCAGGAGTAATGTCATCAAACTCCTTTGGCACTTTGTACTGCTCCACATGGTCAACCCTGATTACTCGATTGAGCAGCTTAATGCCGTTAAAGTTGTCCACGGCGAGTATTGTCGACCGCTGGTCTTGGTAGCAGAGAAATGCAAAGCCCTTGCTTTTGCCGGTCTTACGGTCGCGAATCAAGTTGATGTTCACCACCTCGCCGTACTGCGAGAAAACCGCTATTATGTCGCCCTCGCTCAGATCAAAACTGAGGCCGCCGATGAAGATCCAGGCGCTGTCTTTGTACATGTTATGCCAGCTGGCCTTTCCATCGACGATGCCCAGCTTCAGCTCCTGCTCGCTGAGCTTGGTGATGTTCCGCACATTGCTAAAGAGAAAAGTGGAGTGTTAGTTTTTCAAAAAGCTGCCATCATTAACACAGCCAACTTACGTCAGTGGATTCATGATTTGGTGGTGTACAGTGAATGAATATGATGAGGAATGAAGAAAGTTGTGAAATGGCGTACAGAAGTGCCCTGTTCCAGGATGAAAACATCAGCAGTGTAAACAACGCTGCAGCTCGCTCTTCCCACGAGTGTTTCGCCTGCGAGCCACTGCTGTTTATTCGGCGCGCAATGCAGCAAAGTGTCTTCTGCGGCTTCCACTTGTAGCGGCCACTTGCTGGTCTGCCGACACTGCCGAAGAGCTTTCCCTGCTGAAGACTGAACACACTGAAAGGAGCTGAAAAGAGAGCAGAAGAAGAGGGAGAAGAGCGAGAGAGAAAGAAAGAGGCCTCTGCCATTCAGCGCCAGGCCACAAAGGAATGTGCCTACGGCCATTGCCCGCCGAGTGCTCCTAAATTCTCGTGCTCCTGTTGCTTCTGCTTCTGCTTCTTCTTCACTCGAATCTCACATTGCCGTCTTCCAGGAAGCATAATGCGAGGGGAGATTCGGTTTCAGTATCTCCCCAGCCTCAGTGCCATTTTGGGAAGCTAGTCTGCCGATCATGTCTGATCAACTGCAGCAATTCTTCTCATCGCTCATGCTGCCCTATCTCAGAAGACGGTAAATTCCATTTTAGTGCTTCAACCACCAGCGTCTTCAGCAGAACGCTACTGCATAATAACTCAACATTTCCGGTGCCGCGGACAAACCATTCAGCTCACAATGGGGAAGGCACCGCTGAAGACAGTGCTGATGAACTTTCTTGAGCACTACCACAAGTTGGAAGCCAGCTCACGCGATAAAGTCCAGGCAATAAAGGAGTTCAAGGCGACGGGCAGAGATACACCACCACCGTTGTCACTGTACGATCAAGAGTACATCAAACTAAAAGAGCTCACTGAATCACTGAAAAGTGATCCGTCATATCCGATGAACGAGGGACAGAGTGATGTGAACCGAAAGAAGAACCGATACAAGGACATTCTTCCATGTAAGTTGGATATTAAAAGCCGGTGTATTCATTTAGAGACTTCCACTTTAACTAATTTTAAACACTTTTGACAGATGATAAAAGCCGTGTCATACTATCAGAGTATCCAGGAGTTCCTGGCTCTGACTACATCAACGCCAACTATGTCCGTGGTTCGAGCAACCAAAGAGCTTACATCGCCTCTCAGGGCCCACTGCCAAACACACTGGTCGACTACTGGCGAATGATCTGGGAAACGGATGTGCTCGTCATCGTCATGGCCTGCAATGAACACGAGGCTGGCAAGCACAAGTGCGAGCCTTACTGGCCGCAGAAGGTTGACGAGAAGCAGCAGTATGGCAATATCACAGGCAAGACATTGAGCTTTGATTGACAGTGTGCCCGAGTGATAACACTTTCCCTGTCTTCCTTTTCAGTTGTTCATTTGACCTGGTGTCAAGTGTGTCCGGACTTTCTAGTGCGAACATTTCGCGTCTCAGCCGACAATGAGGAGCGCACCATCTGTCAGTTTCACTACACCACCTGGCCTGACCATGGCGTGCCCGATTCGGTGCATCCCATTCTTGAGCTGGTTCGCCTGATGCGCGACTCACAGTCCACCGAATCGAGGCCCATTTTGGTGCACTGTAGCGCCGGTTGCGGTCGAACGGGCACCATCTGCAGCATCGACTACGTCTGGGCGTTGTTGAAGTCGGGAAAGCTTCGCGAAGACTTTAGCCTCTTTGAGATCATCGCCGACATGAGACGACAGCGGACGTCTATGGTGCAGACCGTGGAGCAGTACATCCTCTGCTACCGAGCAGTGTCCACCCTCTTTGAGCAGCACTTAAAGCTAATTGACGCCCACACCTATGAAAACGTTGACGGCGACGGAGAGCCACTGGGCAGTAAAGAGAAGGAAGATGGTGACTCTTTGAATTTGTCCTCTGAGCCGTCACTCTCTTCAGACACTGCCACCACCGTCAACACTCCGGAACTTCTGATCTCCGTTTTCGAGCCGCCAATCAGACTAACTGCCGATGTGCTCAAAGCGGAAACAAGCGAAAACAAACAGAAAGTCTCGACCGCAAATCATCATCCAGAGAATGGAGGTGAAGTTTCGTATGCAAGTACCTCAACATATCTTCATCGTTCACGTTCAATTGCCGCTCCAGCAGACTCAACGTCTGACGATTTGAGGAATGAGAAGGTGGTCGGCAAAGCGACGGTCATCCGCCGACCGAGCATCGCCAAGCTGAAGGCTCTCTTTGACAATCCGACGCCATCTGCTTCTTCTTCCTCCTCCTCTTCGCAGCTGCTATCAAATCAGCTGGACTTGGCTTCTACTCAACCGACAGACGATTTTTCAGCCCGCTCCCGACTGCAGCGTAGTCAGAGTATCAAAGAAAACATTCGCAACGTGAACGCAACGTTCAATATAAACCTCGATTTGTCACTCAATCAACCTCAGAGTAAGAAGAGTAAAAGCTACACGCTGAGTGCTGCCAAACTAAGTGTCTACAAGAAGCACTACTCAATCGGAAACTTAGCCTTAGGGGCGGATGATCAACTGGTGGCGAGGGAAACCCAAAACCCAGCAGAGCAGGACTGTGAAGAGAGCGTCAGACCTGCAGTTGACAGTGGCCTGGTGGATCAACGCAACCCTTTTCAGAAGTCACAAACTCATTCTCGAATTGACCATCTAGTGGAAGACCTCAAACTGGAAAGTAGAAGCCGATTCAGAGGGCAGACTGTCGCCAAGAGTCGCTCCGAGTCGCAAGTGGGCAAGACAGCAGATGCAGGGGAACACAGTACTGCCGGCAATCATGGACAGAGCAGTACCGGCAACAGCGAACACACCATGGTCAAAAGTAGCGTTTACTCGCGTGTGCCCTTACGATCACAAACCGCCTCGGTGTCAGTCACCAGTAGGCCACCGTCGTTGGACGGTCCTGGAGCACCGCCAAAGCCACCTCGCACTTACCAGCACATCATGGACGACTCCTGCATTGTGAGAACCTCGGAAGGACGGCTGATTGTGACGGTGGCACAGCCAAGGGGAAATAGCAGAGACCCCAGTGAGTCGACGACCAACTTTATTCCCATTTCAAGAGGCGGCAATCAATTTGCTGGCTTTAATCAGCAACCACAACAGCAACATCAGCAACAGCAACATTGGCAGCAACAAGGCCCGCCTGGCCAAAGTTCGATCTACGAATCAATCGGCCCTCGAAAGTTCAACATATCTTCGCCGAACCTGGTGCTGCCTGACCAGGTGACGTACATGACGCCTGCGGAAGCGAGAATGAAGGCAGTGCAGAAATCGACCTATGCTGAGCCGCAAACCGCAAATGGCGGTCCTTCCCTCTACGGTAATGTGCTAGCCTCCAAGTCCTATCCTCGATCGATTGCTCAGCTAGGCGGAACTGCCAACTCACAGACGCCTCTGGGCGACAGTTTCAACGCCTTTCTCAGCAACAAGGCCACCTCTTATGGCGTGGACGTCTTTGGGAATCAGCACTTTCAGTACCACCAGGCGAAGCCGGCCATCATTCTCCAGCAAAACTTCTTTGAGCCCATCTACAGCACCACTGCAGCAGTTTCCGCTCGCCGACAGCCATTCCTACCTCCGCGCACTGCCAATCTGATGCCCACTCAGGGCACAGGTGGGCCCAGCTTTGTGCCTCCACCTGTGCGTCCGAGGTCAATATCACAGGGCACGGTGGTGACATACAAACGACAGCCGCCACAACAGCCGCAGCATCCTCATCAGCTTCAGCAGCAGCAGTCCAGTGTGCACCAGTATGCGGAGAGCATCTACTCCAACAGGGAAATGTGCTTCAGCATGGGCCCCAGTGCTGCCGGCCTGAACGGTCAGATGATGATGGGAAACAAAACGAATGGACACCAGGCGAACTTTGCGCCCATTCGCATTCAGC